CGATTTTTGAGGTGTTGTGTTGTAAACTAATAATACAATTGGGGCTGCAAACAATTTTCATTATCGATTAATCTGTTGAGTATGTATTAATAATTTGGCCCAAGATGAAATCTTCAAAATGTCTTTTTGTGCAACCATCAGTCAAGAACCCAAAGATAAGAAAGATCACTTCACTATTGGAGAAGAATCAGGAAACAAAAAAGTATAGACATTTAACCCAGGACCCAGAAATTGTTTCTTCCTAAATTAGTCAAAACAAATAACTGTTGCTGATTTATGTTTTCGACTAATTGCTGCTGCTCTAAATAGATTTTAAACCACCATGAACTCTTGCTTTTCATTTCAGCGCCCATGTTAAAGGTTCAGTGTGTAATATTTAGGGGGATCTATGCAATATACTGTACATAACTATATTTTCAGTTGTGTTTAAAGACCTTATATAATGAACCGTTATGTTTTTATTAAATTAAAACGAGCCATTTCTGTCTACACACTCACAACCCCCGTGGGTCCTCTTACATGGATATCACCATGTTTCTACAGTAACCCAAGTGGACAAACGGCTCTTCAATGCGTGTTTCTTCACTACGTTGAATATGTACAAAGGAGAAGAACAAGTAACGTTTATTAGAAGTTGGATAAAGAGAAATTTGGACAGATGGAGTCCACCGTAGCTTCTGTATGTTGTTTATATGCTCCGATAATGCCAATCCAACACATCTTTGTTGTAGCATCCATGTTGATTCCACACACAGAAGTCGCCAGAACGACTTCACAGCTGGAGAAATGGGACCACCCGAGGAGCATGTGAATGCACCGAGAACGACTGGCTGCAATTCGCAACCCTCACACACTGAACCTTTACCAGTTTAGCACTTCATCTACAGATTCGGCTTCTCACCTATTTTATTCCAGCAAGAGACCTACATGGTTCTCAACAAAAATGGATCTGTTGACAGTCATATCGACATCATACCTGAAACATTAAACCTTTCAATGACTATCTGTAGAATGTCACAGACATGGAAAAAAAAAAAAAACACTTCCTGTATCCTGTCATATTAATAGCCCTCTAGTGTTTGACAGAATCCCTTCATTTGGTAACATGGCTTTTATTGTATTGTATTTAAATTAAGGCAAACTCTGTGTGGAAAGATGGTGCTTACAGTTCACAGAGGTATCCATCACGCAGAGGTAGGCGTAGGCAGTGTGGACCAAGCTTTGGAGCACATTATTTTAGCAAGATGTAACTAATAAACTGGCGAAAGTGTAAAACTGTTGAGGAAAACACTTGAGGTAGTCGTGGTGCAGCAACAGTGCAAAGCCAGTCAATACAACAGGGATGGTGTACAAACTGGCTTACTAAAAACTGACAGGGATATAACATAAGACAACACTAAAACTCATGTTTCTATCTGCCTTTTCAAAGACTAAATCACCCTCCAAACAAGTTTGTTTTTTTGTGCCAAGGTAACCCATAGTAACTCAAAGCAGAGTGCATTGAGAAGCCCTTTGTTACAAAGGCAGCAGAGCACAGGATTGTGTTTGGGACATTGAGAGTAAAAGCAAACCTTGAGCGCAACCAATTCACTAACATAATATGCACAGTGTTATCATCAGGTCTTCAATGCCCGCTGAAGCAATTCCTGCACGTTTTATCAGAAATAACAGATTTGCTGTTCTGAAACTACTTTCTGTTGTACTTGCTCTAAACAGCCTAAACAAATGTCTGAATGAAAAGGCATTTGTGCTCGCAGCTGACTGTGTAGAAATGGATCAAGGATGATTAATTTCTGTCACGACCACGAGAGTCACTGTATGCCTTAGTTGACACCCTGTTCATGAGGAATACAATGAAAGGGCAACACAAAGGCAAATATCTAGGTGTCAGGTGGAGGTATTGTACAGGGAGGTTCTTCTAACTGATCACAACCAAATGTTCAGGTTTAATTATTTCTAAATATAATTATATTCATTTCTGTTTCTGTCTCTCTTGCCGTAGTCGCGGCCAGTTTAACCTGTTTATTACGAAAACATGTATCACATTTCTACAGTCAAATAAACCACAGAAAATGAAACACTGCACATGCTGGTTTTCCTGTACCTTCTGTGAGGCGAGCTTTTCCTCCTGTAGGCTGGCAGAGGACTGTGGAACAGCCGACACACAGCACTACGGTCTGAGCGTGACTGAACACTGTGGTGATCTTGTAGCAACCTGCACACACATAAAAATCATTGGCTGGGACGGCCATGACTGTTACACTTATAACAGACAGCCACCATAACCACTGCATGATCAAATGTACTCGACAACTGATGTGTCCTTGCAGCTGTTTGTGTAAAGAAGTCACTTGAAACTAATTTTCCAGACAGCCACAAGTGTCACTGTATGCCTTATTTGACACCCCAATCACTAAGGGAACAATGAAAGGGCAACACATAAAGGCAAATACTTTTGATACGTGTATGTATAAGTTAGATAAATATAAGTTCAATGCATTACATAAATACAATTATTTAATAACCGTAAGTGTACTTTTTTAAAAACATTTTTTTACTTCAGTTCATTTGTCTCAGTCTCAATAGTCAAGTTCTACTACTTTAATATGATGTTGTACTACTTATGTGTAGTTTGCTCATTTCTCCCTCTTGTTAAATAATCTAAAAACAGACCTGGACATTTCACATCCATAAAATAGGAATTGGGACACTGTACAAGACGTTTTTTCTTGTGTCTCCTCTTTTCCTCCTCGGGGCTAGGGTGCAACAGATCCTTTGCGAGCTGAAAAGAAACCACAGTGAAACACAAACGAATTTATTAAAGTCTCACTGTAAAATAAAGAATCATTTCAGTTCTGGATGAGTTGCCAACTTTACAGCATGATTAATAGAGGAGGCAAAGGTCGAGATCTGTTTAGTTTTTAAATGAGAGGTAAAGTTAATATGATAACAGGAACGTAAAAGTATTCAAGAGAACTGGATTAAAATATTTTTAGAGCAATCACGACCCAATATATGTTAAAATGTTGAGTTTCTGCCCTCCAAAAAACCCAACATGTGACAAGGGCCAGAAAGGGAGCAGTCCTTCTTTGTTGTACACGTGCTTCGCCATATTGCGTCCGTTTTAACATCTTTACATTTACATTTACGGCAACGTAATAACGTAGACTCGGGCAGAAACAAAACACTATTTTAAAACGTAATTATCCCCCTCCGTCAAAACACTTTTTAACGATTGATGGTAACTATAAAATCCGTAGTGATACTTACAGGCATGTCTGCGTGTCTGGGCGCTCACCGGAAGATCATACTGACGACGCACCGGAAACTTCTGGCTGAGGCAAACCCGGAGGTAGGAAGACGGAAGATTATTGTTTTTTATTTTTTTAATAACCGTTGTTTTCTTGGGGTATTGGGTATTAGTGGGTGTTTACAATCAGCTACCTGTTAGATAAAATAAAATAAAAATATTTATGAAAATGAAACATATTTATGTTACTGGACATTAAATACAAGTTAAATTTAGTAGGCCTACAAAAAATCCGCGTTTGGTTATGAAACACCAAATAGTAGCTTTTGAATATGTTTTATTTCATTTTTATGTAGCATTTAAATGTCCAGAGCAATGGTTAGTTATTTGTCCAGATACTGGTACTCCAAATTAACATGTAAATGTAAATGAGTTTGTTTTTAAATGAAATTTCCCAATTACAAATAAAATGTTATTATGACTGCCCCGGCTTTTCTGTGAGGAGTTTGCATGTTCTTCCTGTGTCCGCGTGGGTTCTGTCCGGTTGCTCCGGCTTCCTCCCACCATCCAAAGACATCCGGACTAATTGGTGCCTCTAAAATTGTCCTTAGGTGTGAATGTGAGAGTGAGCGTGTGGCCCTGCGATGGACTGGTGACCTGTCTTGGGTGTACCCCGCCTTTCGCCCAATGTCAGCTGTGATTGGCTCCAGCCCCCCGCGACCCTGTAGGCCTACGCAGGATAAGCGGTTGACGATGGATGGATGGATGGATGTTATTATGACGCTCTCCATCCATACATCTTTGGACTAACCAGAGTGCAGAGTAAACTCTTTACTCTTCTCACTAACCGCCAGAAAATATAAGCTATGGGAGATTATTTTAAAATATTTTTTTCACTCCACAGAGACTGAGAGATAACCTAGGCCTAGGCCTACTTGTAAAACCAGCCAGTGAAATAAATATGCAGATCACCTGGGATAAGTTTTACTTTGTAACATATCTGAAGGGGAATTTTAATGTAGCTAATAATTTACATTATTAAGGCATAGCCTAATGTCATACTGTAGGCTACTGATTGCAAAGGCAGTGGTTCTCAAACTGGGGGGCGGCACCACAGGGGGGCAATCTGTTACTGCAGGGGGGCATAGATGTTGAGCAGATAAAGTTGCATCAATGTGATTCATTTGCTAACCTGAATATTTTGTTTTATTTTAATTGCTCCTGTTTAATGATTGAAAAACAAAAGTCAGTAGACTCTCCTGTCTACATATTTTGTTTACCTTTGGTATGTTAGTTTTGGATTAGCCTACATGTTAAATATGACTTGAAATGTGTCCACATAGCCTACTATGACCCATGTAGGCTATGTGATGTGAGCTTTAGTTTGGTAAACAATGCGAGTTGAGAAGTAATCAAGGTTACCAATAAAACGGAGTAATTAGCCATTACAAATGGTCTCTTAATGTACCAATTAAAACTGTCTTACACACGAACATTAAAATAACTACTTGGCAATAAGGCTCAGGTTATAGACTACAAACTTTCCATCAAAGGAATAAAGAAACAATGAACCTGAGATAATAGAAATGGCGCACCAGGATGATGCCACTGGTGGTTTGTTTTTGTAATTAATGTATTTCAATAAAGTTGTAGTTTATGGTTACGGACCGTTATTCGTTTTCTGATCAAACGGCGCCATCTTTTGTTCGTGCCGGGTGCCTGCAGGTCTGAGTCTTTACCTACTCTCATGAAGCACTCCCACACGACGTAGCCTTTCAGCGGATCTGGGATCTAGGCCGACGGCAAGTTTTTTGGGGGGGAGGCAGAAAAAAACACGTAGCCACCCCGGACTCCCTGGTACGTTGATGAAAGCAAAATGGATCTTGAATAGAGTTGGTGGCACTTTATCTAACTTTGGATGGAGTGTAGGCCTATTTCTTTATCCAGCGCAGTCCAAACGGAGCACAGAGGCACAGAGGGGGATCGGAATTTACCGGTGACAAGTCTGAGAGGGGAAAAAAAGAAAAAGAGCATCCACTCGTTACATGGAGCAATCTTTATTTTACTTTATTTTTAAGCCTGCTTCATTTGAATCACAATCAAGATTTGAAGACCGAAGTCGATGAAAAGTAGGCCTATACGTCCAGAAAGGGACAACCCCGACTTTTCTCCTTTTAAACTTTGAAGAACAGCTCCAACTATGGCGAAAAAGTACGATTTTCTTTTCAAATTGTTACTCATCGGGGACAGCGGAGTGGGCAAAACATGTCTGATCATTCGTTTAGCCGAGGACAATTTCAACTCCACATACATTTCCACCATCGGTACGTTGTTAACAGTGAAATGTTTGCCTTGTAATCTACGACATGTCTGCACCAGCTCATGACTGGCCTTCTGTGAAACCATAAGACAAATGTTTGCTGAATGATGGCATTTCATTCTTCCTCTGTTTGATGCCCAACACTGTAGAACTGGTTTGTCAGACTGATTTCATGCCTGAACTAGTCCCTGCTCTCTCTTTTTATCTCTTTTCTTCCATCTCATATCTGGTTCCTTTTTTCCCTCCTCTTGTTGAATGTGTGTGCTGTTTCTTCCCTGACCCTCTTCCCCCCCATCTCTCCCTCAGATCTCATTCCTCTCACTTGGCTCTCAGAAGGTCCACCCACCCTCATTCCTATCTCTTTTACCATCTCTCCGTTCCCAGAAGAATAGTTGGCTTTCTGGCATTTTTTCTTTTACAGTACAACCCCCCACCTCTTCTGCCTCCTTACTGTCTATCTGTCTGTCAGCTTGTCTATCCGGCACTTAAAGACAGTGTGTCTATGCATTCTTTACTTTATGTCTGTTTGTGGATGGGGGGTCACTGAGGGGGCAAACTCACTGTGGGAATGGCCATGAATCAGTCTCCAGCCTTGTGAGGGTGACCTATATATTCTGCAATGTTGGTGGGGTTAATTTTAGTCCATATCTGAGGTATTTAACTCATTCTCTACCCTCCCACCCTCCTTGCTCTTTGTCTCCCAGGCATCGACTTTAAAGTAAAAACCATTGAAGTGGATGGAAAGAAAATAAAACTACAAGTCTGGTAAGGGATGACACTTAGTTGCTGCTTGCGTGGAAATGCTTTGTTTTGTGATTCACTGAAGCAAATAACGCAGAGTAATACGTTGAGTTGTGTTCCTCTGTTCTCTTGCCGGCCTCTGGCTCAGGAAAGAGGAACCTCCTTCTTGTTCTCCAAATCAGGACTTCATGACAGGGTTTATAGTCCAAGTATCCATCACACAGAGTTACTGCAACACAAATTCAGCTTCCTATAGCAGTGTAAACTACACATTAAAAGCGCCGTCCTGCAGTCTTTCCTTTGACCACAGTTGTATTTTAAAGTTTAAAGTTGCAAGATATTACTCCACATGTTTTTGTGTGTGCTTTGTGCAGGGACACCGCAGGGCAGGAGAGGTTCAAGACCATTACGACAGCCTACTACAGAGGAGCCATGGTGAGCACAGGACGCCTACAGAACAAGCAGACTGGATAATCAGGCTGACATCACTGCCCCCTTTTGTGCTCGCTCTGTACCTTTCACTGACTCCTTAAATCCCCTCTCTTTGTCTCTCCCCTCGCTCTGCGCCAGGGCATCATCCTAGTGTACGACATCACGGACGAGAAGTCCTTCGAAAACATTCAGAACTGGATGAAGAGCATCAAAGAAGTGAGTGAGACTGTTTCCACTAGGCCGTGGCAAAGATTACCAGGAAAGACTTCGAAATAGTGCTTAGTCGACTGGATACGTGTTAGTCATAAGAACGGGCATTTGCTCACTGCAACAACAAAGCAGGGATATTGCACAACTGCTGGCTTTAAAGGGTCAGTTCACCCAAATCACACAAAGGTTTATTTCCCTTCTTACCCCTAGTTTTCACTCAAATGTCTTTGAACTGAGCTACTAGCTATTATTGATTAACCTGCCGCTAATTTTCTTGATTAATTAATTATTGCTTTGTATATAAAATGCCAGAAAATGATGAAAATACCCAAGTATTCCCGATACCAGGTGGCGTCTTCAAATGCCTTTATTTGTTTGATTAGCAATCCAAAACACAAATATATTTAGTTTACAATGATAGAAAAGCAGCAGATACTTACATTTGTCGGCAGTTTTGCTTGATTAATTATTTAAATGATTAATTGATTATCAAAGTAGCTGCAGATTAGCATTCAGTATGTTGGCTTATCAATCAGTCAACTAAACATCTCAGCCTTAGGAAATAGCCCACGATGAAAACTGTTCACATTAAGGTTTGTGTGTTATCTTATCACAAGGAACTGGGACATTGTTTCCAGAGAGACTTTTTTTTTCAGTTTCAGGGCAGATATCGCTTCACTGAGTAGGAACCAAAGAATCCCAAACACTGTCTGTCAATTGTTATTTTTAAAAACTTAAACATTTTTTAAGGAATTGGCTTTAATCAATAGTGGGCAGCTGAGTAGTGACATTAAACAAGAGGAGAAAGCGAGAAGGAGAATGACATGCAGCAAAGGTTCCCACCCAGAATCGAACCGAAGGATGTTGCAATTACAGTATTATGATATTGAACTATTCTACAAGGACTCCAATTGAAACTTTATTAATGATGTTTTGATCAGGTAAAATAAATTTTCCTGATCAAGATTAAAAAACTAAACAACATTAATAGACTGAGGACAAGTGACCATCAGTGTGTGTGTGATTCTTTCTCATTTAACAACTTTCAATTGTATGTAACAGTCATTGATAAAGTAAAGAAATGTAGATACTACTAGATGAACTAACCCTTTAACAAAGAGGGTTTTGAATTAAATGTTTGCGTTCATCCTTTCTATTATATTTGGTTGAAATGCAAGGTCGTAATAGAAAGGAAATCTGAAAGCATTCAGACAGAGAATCCTCTACTGTCTCATCAAAACTGAAACAAAATATGCAAACCACTTTATTTAATCATATCTGTGAGGATCTTAGTCTTTAATATAGAGAGAGTTTTCCTGCTAAAAGATGTGCTGTCCTTGACTTTGATCTATCCATATGTGTACTCTCCGCTAAGCAGGCATTCTTATGGAAAAGAACTAGGCTTTGCCTAATCAATTCACTGCATTCCCTCTTTCCCAGAATGCATCAGCCGGGGTCAGTCGAATGTTACTAGGTAATAAGTGTGACATTGAAGCCAAGCGGAAAGTTGCCAAGGAGACAGGAGAAAAGGTGAGATGACCCTAACAGAAAATTCTTATTCTGATGAAATTTGGATGCATCCGTAACAGTCAAAGGTTTCACTGTGAGGAAGATACAATAGAAGTTAAAACTTTTTTTCTGCTTTTTAAAATGTTAGAGGGAGTGGTTGTTTGAGGAAGGACTGAGTGGGTCATGCATGTTTTTGATATGCCCGTCTCACATTCACTTGAGATAAGAAGCAGGAAGTGGTTATTACCCATATCCTGACCTAATGTAATCAGATCTGTGTCTGTTGTTGACAGTTGGCAAAAGATCACGGCATCAGATTCTTTGAAACCAGTGCAAAGTCCAGCATTAACGTGGAGGAGGTGAGCCAGAACGTAACCACGGGCTAACAAAAACACTGTCTTCATACCTCATTAAACTTTAGCTTTTGTATTAACAAATTTATCTGTTTCCTTCAGTCGTTTCTGTCTTTGGCGAGCGACATACTACAGAAAAACAGCAAGAAACCAGTAAGTCGAAACAGGCTGAAGCATTTGTTCCTATCTGGAATCAGACTTGTTACTTTATGTTATGTAAGATATGTCTGTAATTTCGTTTCTTTGTCTGTATTTCCTTGTTTGACAGGGCCCCACAGGCAGGGAGGTGAAAATCACCAGCAGTACAGAGAAAAAATCCTCCAAATGTGTTCTTCTCTAGAAAGGACGCTGGCCAGCATCAATGTTACAGAGGAGAAAAACTGTCTCCATCTGGTGGGCTCAAATATCAAATACATACTGGTGCATAGGTATAGGTGTACATACATAGGCTTTTATACATAAACTGCTGGTATTCCCTTTACAGTGTTTGTACTTTTGCTCCCCAAAAGCGTACTTTGCCAGAAAAAAATGTATGGATTTGTATAGTTGCCCTTTTCTTTCTCTGGCTTATCGCCACAGTATCATCCTTACAAAAACACTGCTTAATGTCTTCAGAGAACTTTAGCTGTTTTTTTAAAAGATGTTTTTAGGACTGGGTATGTAAAACAAATACACCTCAGCTTAACAGAACCATTGCATTCATTTCTTATGTGTGAGCACATGCAATAGTAGCTTTTAGGAGCTCAGTGGCAGAGGAGGAGAGAAGAGTTTTGATTCATGCACAGCGGGCTCCTGGTTGTAGTCTTTGACCCAAATGTTTTTCATTCCATTAAATTCAAGGGGCCACTGGCATTTCACAGATTATGTTAAATTGTTTAAATACTGGACAGAATTGCTAAATTAGTTACTGAAGAACGCCTTGGTTACCAATGCTCGAGTTCATTGTTTGAAATTCATCTAATTGTAATATATTGCATCGACAGCACAGGCAAATTGACAATCTTGCAGTGCCACATTTTAGTGGCACATAAATATATGGCAGAAATGTCATAGACGAAACATTAAACTTTACATTTTGGCTAAATGTAAAGTAATACAGTTTTTTGATGTTTCAATAGTGTACAGTATTATAACGCATTCAGCAGAATCTACAGCCACAGATGCAATTGGATATCAAACACCCTGAGTCTAGCATGGACACATCCTATGAGAAGCTGAAAATATGCTCTTCACGTTGATCAGTTAAACTAATTGATGTGGTTTTTATGGAGCTGAATCTGAAACCAACACTGGCGCTATAAAGAAGCAATGTTTTAAATATGAATGGGATGAGAATGTGGAAGATAGGAACAGAGATAAGTGCAATATGAGAAGTGGAGAGATGAAAGAATGATGGGTGATGCAAGTGAATGGCCAGGATGTGAAGAAAGCAGCAGTGCTCACATGCCCCTCATTCTGAATTGATTTAGTGGGTCTTGCCTTTTATCCCAAGTGCCTGGTAAATTTCTTACTAAACATGACCACACATTAGCTACATCTGACATGATAGTTTTTCTGTTCAGGCAATTTCAGATCATTCAAAATAGCTTTCATTATAGGCGCTCATCTGCTCCTGACAGACGTACTGTATTTCCTGTATCTACTTTTTATACATTTTCTTTCACATTCTGTGTCTTTTTAGACCTGCCACAAAAGACTGTATGTAGTTTACAGATCTGCCGCTTGCTGAATAAAAAATTATGAGTGTGTTGTAGTTTGAGACTGTGTGTTGGTGCAAAACATTATCAGAACATGTAGTTTGTTCATGAATTTTGTAAATGTTTTATTGTGAGAAGTCAAGGCATGTTTTTACATTAATGCAATACACAGATGGATGTAACAAAATATACAGTAACACAAAACAACGCTAGAACAACAATAAACAGGTTAGGATTTTGCTCCATAGTATAAGGAGAAACGCACCGAAAGGAAAGAAAAGGAAGAAATGTCAGGAAGAGCAAAAGAGGAGAAATCCCTCTTCAGGGACAGAAAGACATGCAAAATAACAGAGTGGACAGAACAGACAAAACTAAAATTACAATATGGAAAATATTAATATTAGGTAGAATTGATAAGACTGCAAACATAAGAATATGCAGAAGATGTGAATTTGTTATTGTGAGATAGGTGAAATAAGCAATGGCTTCAGCCTACAACGTTTCACTCATTGCTATGATCTGTTTTAGAAACTGACTCGTTATTTTGTGGATGTTTAACCACTCAGATTCATTGCTGTATACCGTTTTAAATACTTGAAGGCCTTAATAAAGGTACATTCAGTTCAGACAAAGAATGTGGCTTTGCGCCTCAAGGACACTGACAGGAAATATGTCGCAGACAAAGTAGTTAGTAGTAGTAGTTAACTTCTTGTTAACTACTCTCACTCACTACAGCGGCAACTAGGTGATGGTTTTTTATCCCTCATTGCTGCTGCAGGAGCTGGAGCCTGTCGCTAGGCAACCGCCCCTCCTTCCCAACATCAGCACCAGGACGGTGTGCGCGCGCTCTGCCGCATCTTCAAGTTGCCTGCCCGCACGTTCCGCTGCGTGCCTTGTCATCACGCAGCCCAGGTTTTGGTTTGCAAACACAATACATTCCTCTTTTCCAGCGCCAGAGCTCTACCGAGGACCGGACGTGCAGGCAGCAGAGGGAGGGGCACGGTAAAAAGAAGAATCACTAAATCTATTCGGATGGATTTCAACATGTTATGGCGGACATAGGTAGGCTATGTTGTTATGTTCATGTGACTGCCTGGTGGGAAGCAGCGAGGTACACGTCCGGGATATACACACACGCGCACAAACACACGGGCTGAACGGGATGCCCGCGTGACTGCAGGGAGGAAAGAGGCGGCGGAGGAGGTGGAGGATGAAGGGGCGGTCTAGGTGCGTGTGTGGACCACCGCAAAACCCCCGAGGTGGAGTTGTCAAAGATCGAAACCTGTGAGGAAACATTTATTCCAGCCTGGCTGCTATTTTTGGTGCAGTTTGAAAATCGATGGAGGATATTTATTTCCTGTTCATGTCGTGGTAATTAGTCTCGCGAATGAACCGATGTGATCTTGGGGCTTTGATCTCCACACCGTCTTTTTTCTTTTCCGTGACAGGATATGGACCTAACATAAGGTCTCGGGAGGAGGCGCACATCGGATGTCGCTCCTCCTGACTGGACACACGGAGTGACCGGCTGGTGTCGTCTCTGCTACGAGGAGGGATTAGCTGCTTTCTTTGGGATGCTTTAAAAATTTGCGGCCTGCTCTGTTCTCCAGTTACCGCAATGCCTCTGGCGAGAGGAAGAAGAGGTGGGAGGCAGAAGATGGAGAGGAGGGAGCAGCAAAATGAGTATAATAGTGATGTATAGATGGCAAGCTCCATTGGTATGATTGTGTTTTATCAGAGAATGACTGAGCAGCAGAATGGTATATACTGTACTCTGTAGGCTGTAGTGGCCTTTGAACTGTATGGGGTGAAAGAGACACTGTATTCACTGAAGCAATCTTAGTATCACAGCTGAAACGTCAAATGAGGTGAGTACGGTGGCTGTGAGTGTGTTGTGGCTGCTCAATTCTCAACTTTCTGCTGACAAAGTTCTTGGACTCACTGACTGGACTATAGTGCGCACCATGGGGCATTGCGCAGAGCCTATGGCACCTGCCAGTGGAGCGCTTGGTGCATAATTGTGACAGAGTGGAGCTCTGAAGCCAGCATTTATGCCTCTCCTGTACTTCTACCTACACAACTGAACTTTTATGAACCCAGAGTAAGTGTGAAACCTCTCCCAGCCTCCTCCACACACGGATAAGCTTAACATGCCTTCTCCGTCAGACTCTAGCAGCGTGGCTTCGGGGTCTCGAGGCTGGTCAGACAGCCGCAGGGGCATGTCAGGCCGTGGGCCTGGTGGGGCACGGCTACTCCTGTACCTGGGGCTGTGCCACCTGGGCCTAGGGGCCATGGTCCTGGCTTTCTCTTTCACCAGCATGGCCTTCACCTCCTCAGCCCGTGTGAGGCAGTCCTGTCCATTCTGGGCTGGCTTCTTTGTGAGTGTAAACCTGACAGAAAACATACAGTATTAAGAATGTAAAAACAGAGATCCTGAAGGGTGTGTTTTCTGATGTTTGTGGTATCTGTTTGCAGGTGGTGGCATCAGGCATAGTTGGAATAATCTCATGGAGGAGACCTCTGACACTGGTGGTATGTATATTTCCATCTGATAAAAGGAGTATTCAAGTCTTTTAGCTATAGATTTAAAACCATATACCATCAAGCAATGCTGAACCAGCAGAGTAAAGAGGACCCCAGGGGCCCACCTTGAAAACTCCATGTTCACTGTGTCAACCAGGTTATTGTCATTTGATTAATTAGTCTAGGAATATGCACCATTTAAGCATGTTGTAAACTGAAGTGAAAGAAAGCAATCTCACTATAAGGTCCCTTTAGCTGTTCTGGAGCTTTTGATCATATAACATAATCTTCATCAGCAGATGGAGCTTGTCCTGTTGATATGCAACTGTAGATGTAAAACACAATTCTGAGCACTTTAAGGATTTTTTGTCCATGCTGGACTAAAAGCTAAGGTTTAAAGTTTATTCTTGACTTTGGAAAAGTGAAAGAGCCTTAAAGACAAGCAGCGAAACATGGCAGCAACGAAATCCTTGCAGGCAATTGCGCCCATTCAAAGTACGTCTACTTGTTTTACAGAGGCTCAGATTGTTATTATATGTGTCTTACAATATTATGGAAAGGATCCCTACAGAGATAGACCTTTTTTTAAAGCGTATACAGACGCTCTATGGCTCTTGTCAAAGCCACCAGACTCCTTTAAAAAAAATAGCAGTTGTACCTCTCTGGTCTACTGCTGCCTGAATCGGTTAGTTTGTGTTATTGTGTGATTTTGGTGTTTTAAAGAGTTAAAAACATAGTTACACAATTATTAAAAACAATCTAACCGACCGAGGCCGCAGTAGACCAGCAACTCCTGTGTTCTGCAATGTAAAATTGCTATTTTTATCAATGGAGTCTGGTGGCTTTAACAAGAGCGATATAGTAACTGTTTCTGGTTAAACAAAAAGTATCTTACTTACACAAGAAAATGGGAAAATAAGGTCCAGGTTGAAAAAACAGAAGTTACCCTTTAAGGTGGGTCCTGCTGCTTATTTATCTAATCTTCAGGCCCTCTGTCAAAGTGTAGTTGTAAAATTATGTATACCTTTACATAAAAACAGTTCTATTTTATACTGCACTTACATTGTGCATATTCATGTATGCATTCAGTATGATTAAACTGTAACCCACGGAAAATTTGGAGTTAGTTGATCTGGCTGTGACATGCAGGGCAAAATGTTCAGGTTTTCAATCCATCTAAAAACCAAACCAGTTCCTTCACTTTTTAGTTCATCTTCTCTGGCTGAAGGTATGTTCATCAGTGAAATTACCTGTCACAGTCTTCGGTTAGAAGAATAAAACTCTGAACACTCTTGGCCCTATATCAAAACAAGGCTCTGTGTTCCTCCACAGGTGTCACTGTTCATGCTGCTGTCTGCAGTGTGTGTGATCCTTAGTTTGGCAGGCTCGATGCTCTCCTGTCAGAACGCACAGATGGTCAAGTCTATGCTCACCTGCCAGGTACACAACATTATGCAAGTGTTGTCTTCTGCCTCATGCTGAAATGCCCTTCCAGCCAGATGCATGGAGCACGTGGCAGGAATAACTGTGAATATGTTTTAAGTGTTGGTTCAGTGCTTCACACCAGTCCTCTGTGAATGGGAATGTGTGTAGGTGGAGAATGGTCTTTGTGTATGTTGCGCGCCCCCACACTCCTGCTCCATCACAGAGGAGGAGACCCTGGTCCTCTACTTGAATGCTGACTGTCACTCAGTCAGACATCAGCTGAAGGTGGGTAGGATATGTCTCCATTCTGGAGACCCAAATACTTATTTTAATGCAGAGGTTAAAAATTTAAGGATAGGTTCACATTTCTGTCTGTCTGAAAACATTCTGCAACTATAAGGGGAGAACACTGCCAGGGAAACCCAAAGAGAAAATACTATAACTGAGAAAGATACCTACTTGAGTCTACTCGCTCAGACTGCTAAAGCCTCATATTTACTTCAGATAAATGTTTGAATCCATTTTTGCACAAAAAAAGGACTGTGGATTTTGTCCCCCATCACTTACATTCAAAGCACATTAGGGATCTTAGGGAGCCAATATAAACAGGAGGAATGATTACAGCTAGAAAAACCTGTTTCAATGTTCACATTGGCACCTGACCATTGTTTTAAGGCAGACTTACAAATTGTGAACTTAGCCTTTAAATGTGACATGATAAAATGCCTTTACTGTATGTTGTCAGATTTACATTCTCTGAATGCGTATTTCTCTGAAGGACCTTTTGTTCAGTGCGTGTGGTCTCAGCATTCTCTCAACCATCATCTGTACTCTGTCCACTGTGACCTGCAGTATCCATATATTCTCTCTGGACCTTGTGCACCTGGTGAGTGCAGACACAGCACATTTTATACCAGACTAGCTTTTTTTGGCCACAAATGACACCCGGCTTTACAGTAACTACACTGCTGCATTAAACGATTAGGGTTTACATTTGTACCCCGCTTTGGCCCATTATATCTATCTGTTGTAAGTATGATCTTGATGTGTTGCCCATTCTCGTTGCCTAGCTGGCCCCACATCGCTCTCGTTCAGTCAACCCAGAATG